TTTCCTCTCTCCTGAACTTTCTCCCTGTCTTCTGGGTCCAAGGTGTGGGGTCAGAAAATGGATTTTGTCTAGAGTGAGCTGACCCCAGGCCCTGGAAGCATTTAGGCATGGCGCCTCAGTGCTAATCGTAGGGCTTAGCTGTCTTAAACAAGCAGCCCTTTGTCCTCAGAGATTCCTTTTAAAATGATGAGACTGAGGGCCACCTTTCAGCAGACTTAGGGAAGGACAAAGGTTCTCCAGAGCTCCACACTCAGGATGTTTTAAGTGATTGAAAAGTCTCGTCACCAAGTTACTGTCAACTGCCTTCGAGGCTATGAGCTACCATTTCCTCACTTACCGATGTTACTGGAAGTCCCACTTATTTCACTCAGTCATTAGTAAGTTCGGAAGACAGGACCGATTGCACTCCTTCAACCATTTGTCATTCATTTCACAAGAACTTAGGAGTCCTTACTAGTTCCAGGCACTGCAGTGTCAGAGAAGGAGTTCGTAGCCTGGTGGAAGAATTCAAAATGTACATAGTGCAGAGTCTGCACAAGATATCTACCATAATAGGCTTTGCCCTGGCACCATGGAGGTGGACAGAGGGGGCTTTTTAAAGGAAACTGTGTCGGAACTGAACCCTAAATGACCAGTGCTAATTATTTTGGCGTGTTCTGGGGAGTTGGGGGCTGAGGGAGGAGAGTTGGAGATGGTCTAGCAACAAAGGAGGAAGCAAGGGTAGGAGTGCAGAGTGAACATCAGACTGGCTGGATCTGAATGGTGGGGAAAGAGTACCAAGAGAGTGGTTGGAATTTTGAGAGTGGAGACAGTAGAGACAATCAAAGGCCAAAGGGGGGGGGGTCATATGAAGAAATTAACGTTCCGCAAGGTTACATATGAGCCCAAGGTCATACAACTACACATAAAGACAAACAAGGAGCTAAAGGCAATATGCTGACTGCAGCACTGTCCAGTTTGGACTCAGAAAATCCAGTCACTGTTTCACAATGAGCAAAGTCACTCACTATCAAGAAAATCTCCTTTTGGCAACTTGTATTTGGAGTTCAGCATTTGAAAATGTATTTTAAAATGTGTCAGTTTTATTTAGCTCTGTGTCTCAAGCAATGCTAAAACAACCAATAACAAGAACAACCCAAACTGCCCTAAATTAGCTGAGGAAATCGAATTTCTGGAAAAACGTATCCTAAGGGCACAGTTAAGGCTGTGTAAAGATATTTATCTTCATTTTGTTTGCAATCACTAAGAGGAGAAGACGGCTTACATGGCATTCGGGATGCAGTACTAGGCTTTAAAAAAATTGTCACTAAAGAATTAAGTGGTGCCGGGTGTTGGTGGCGCACGCCTTTAATCCCAGCACTCAGGAGGCAGAGTCAGGCAGATCTCTGTGAGTTCGAGACCAGCCTGGTCTACAAGAGCTAGTTCCAGGACAGCCTCCAAAGCCACAGAGAAACCCTGTCTTGAAAAACAAAAAAAAAAAAAAAATTAAGTGGTATACATTGAGAATTCTTCAAAAAGCTTTTCTATAAGGTCCTTAGATTGGCGGACTCTGATGAGATTATGAGTACATAATTTCTTCTTTTCTGTTTCCTTTTTTTTCCTCATTTCTTTTTGAGACAGGGTGTAATGTACCCCAGGTTCCCTTTTAGTTCTATGAACTGTCTATATAGCCGAGGCTGGTCTTGGATTCTTGGTACTCCTGCCTCCACATGCCAAATGCTCAGACTCCAGATGTGCATCAGCGGACCCAGTTCATTTCAGATTTATTTGTTCATCGTTTTTTCAGAGAATAACTTACTATATTTCCCAGGCTGATCTGGCATCTTTAGACTCAGGTGAGCCTCCCAAGTAGTTGGGACTCCCTAAATAGTTGAGGCTAAAAGCAGGTACCATGATGCATCATCATGCCTGATACCCTGATTTTTAAATAAGCACATATTGCTTTGGAATAAAGCCAAAAAAAAAAAACCCACAAAAAACCAGAACCAAAACAACAAGGGAAACTTCATTTAAAAAAGCTGTCCCAATGATAAATATGTAAGGTAATGCATATGTTAATTAGTTCAAATGAATCATTCTACAGTGTATACATATTTTAAATGTCATGCTGTGCATGATAAATATGTGTAATTTTTACATGTTCATTTGCAGATAATAAATTTAAAACAGTTGCACTATAAAGTCCTTTTCTGCATAAACCTCAAAATAGGAGTTCCTCCTAAAGTGATAAAGCTACTTATTGCAAAGTCATGTGCCTGCAGATGTTCCAGGGATCTGCCCCTAAATATCAACACATTGCTCACTAGCCCACAGTAACCCCCAGACTCTTTTCCAACCTAAATTATAATGAAATCCACAGTGAAATAGGTGATAGCAGCATTCCGACTTAACGGATGAGCAACTAGGAGGGGTGCAGAAGCCTCATTCTCAAGGTTGCAGACTAGTCATGCCTCTACCTCCACCTGCTTCGGAGGCTAAGGAAGAAATATCACAAGTTCAAGGCCTGCCTGGGAACACGGAGACAGTTCAAGGTTAGACTAGGCAAATTAGCAAGATCTTGCCTAAAACTCAAATCTAAAAAGTACTAGGAATGTAGCTCGGTGGTAGAGTGTTTGCCAGACACGTGCAAGGCCCTGTGTTCAATTCCTAGTACTAAAATGTCTCTATCTATTTAGTTAAGCAGTAGAAACAAGCTTTGGATGGGGTGGTATGGATGAAGATCCTGTTAGTTTGATCACTTTATAGATTCTTTAAGGCCTGTGTTTTTAGAGCCACTGTGTGGAAGTTAGCTGTCATGGGTATAGGAAATGATGGTACAAACAATGGCCAGCAACTGGTAGGGGAAATTAGCTTGAGGAAGCAGTGTTCTGTGGATGTTTAGGGAGCTTTCACAGGACAGATGCACAATGAAAACTGTTCAGAGACATTGCAAAGGTTTGTGGCAACTGCACATTACACAGGGGCACAAAGAAAGACGCTTTTGCTTG